TAGCAGCAAGGACAGGAGTGCTAGAGAAGGCAGCAGCTCAGAGCTGAGGGAGCCACGTTGTCAAATGCTTGGTGACCTRATGAGCAGGGAGGGTTCTGTGAGACGGTGTTTCTCACGAGTCCCTGCAATGCATTACTCCGTAATGAAGTGAATTCTTTTAATTGTTTCCTTACATTCTACTGAAAAGGACTTATTCAAATCTAGTCAGCTACATGAAGTGTTGACACCTTAAAGCTTTACAGGGCATAACTTGGATGTTTAAAGCATGACAGGACAGAGACAGCCCATTCCAGTTTCTCAGAAAACTGCCTTGTAAAGCGTGTGAGGCACTCCTGCTTTGCTTCCCAGTCTATGGCAAAATAGTTGTAAAGCTTATGAGGTAGGAGGAAGAGAGAAGCACCTTTCCTAGATCTTCTGGGGAAGCCTGTAGATCAAGGGATCGTTTCAAAGGATCATCTCAAATAATTTTGCAGATTTAACAATCACATAGATCCCCAAGTTTTTGCAAGCTCAGACAGAGGGAGGACTCTACTTACTCTCCAAAAACAGGGTAAGCATCTTAACTCAGAAGACCTATGTAGAGTTCCTCAGATCATCTTTTCCAGTGCAGGATGCTGTTTGCAGCTGGTAAGGTGAGAGGTCCTTTGTAGGTTGATTAGTATTATCTTCAGACCCYTGAAGCTTGCAGGGGTGGAAAATAGATACACCACCATTAAATTTGACTTATGCAAACATATTTGTTTCTTTCAAACATATTTCCAGCAGAYTTTTGTTTCTATGGTCTCTGACATACAGATGGTTTGCAGGGTAAGAGCACAACTTTATGCATCTTGAGCAAAGCAAGGCTATTGCCCTGCACAGGAGGGGCCTCAGATACAGTCTTTTTCTCTGTAACCTTCTTTCTTTTTGGAGAAGCTACCAGATCTGTGAGAAGCCATTACAGATCCTCAGTGAATGATTTTTAATTAATGAAACTAATGCTTCTCAGATAAGAATGCAATTGAACTACCAAAACTTGCTTTGTAAGAGAGCATCCTGGTGGCAGAGAGGATGGTACTTGGATTGTAAATTCTTATCTGGGAAAATCCAAAGCACCAGCAATATGCAATTCTACTTTTTGGACTTAATGATTAGAGTACTGCCTTTGTGCTTCAGAAACTTCCACTGAAAACACTAAATAAAAAATCAACTGAGCTTTTGGGGGTTTTTTTTGTTTGTTTTTTTGCAGTGTGGTTAGTCATCTTCTTGAAGTGGAAGATAGCATCCTTCATTACGATGTTTTTGTGTAGGATTGTTTTGTTGTTTTCCTTAAATACCTTTTTAAGTCCAAATATTTTCTAATAAGAGCAGTTGATATGGTTTAATGAAATATAGTGCAGATATGGCAACATGTATCACTTCTGTAAATCTACATTTAATTGTGTAGCATTTCATCTGCGTAGTTTGCTGGAGGCTTTGCACTGAGGTCTTTTCAACCTACAAAGTATCACACCTACTCCGGTATATGTTTGTTTTTTACTTAGTTTCATCCAAATTAAGAACCTCTTCCAATTCTCAATTTGTTATAATAATGATGAGTTTTTGTTTGTTTAAACTTGTGTTGCTTTGCTTCTCAGTCATAGCCTAACCCAAAAACTTTTTTTAGTTAAAAAAAAAAGAGAAGTAGCATCACTTTTCAGGATTGAACCTATTACTTTCTGTCTTTTGTTACCCTGAACTTACTATTTTCTCTCCTGGTTTAGTTAGTATGGGTATAAAACCCACAATTTTCCAGTTTGAATGAATTAAATGACTTCACAGTGGAAAATAGGACATTTTAAATAAAAAGAATGTAGTTCTATAGAAAGAGCAATTCTCAAGAAAGGATGTAATATCTAAATTTAGTCAGAATATAGTCTGCTCAGTGGTTTTGCCTAATCTCCTTTTWTAAGTAGTAATGGTGCAGTAAGGTATTTATTGTGTATTTTCCTGCCTGTCTTGTATAGAGTTCAAGACAAGAAATTGAGTCTGGAGCTCCAGCTACGCAAATTCCTTTTTGTCTATATCTGTAGCATGTTGCTGTTTGAGGTGTAGCACATGCTTAGATCTTTAAATTCTTATTTSTCCCCATTTTTTAATTTTTCAAAGTCATGCTTATAGTAGACAGGCACACTTCAAATATAATAAAGGTTGCACAATAATATTGGTCTGTAATTAATAACCTAGTGTATTGGTAACATAGTCTAGTCTGGCTTTGCAAACTCTCTCAGGTTCTCTTGATAAACTGACATATTCAATATGATTTATATTTAAATATGTAAATCAAAGCAATATGTGTCTAAACCACACATGAGGTAACTTATTCCGACTGTTTCAAAGCTGGTTACCAGAAATAATATTGGATAGAGTAAAGCTGAGATATTCATTAGAAAACTCTTCTTAGTTTCAATGTAAATAGTTGCCTGACAGCAGTGTGTGTGTGTAGAAATTATATTCAGTTTGTGACATCCTTTTTTCCCCTCTAGATTTCTTACAGTTTGTGTAATTCTTCAGCAGGTTTGACTTAAATTTGAATAATCGCCTCTTGAAAACTGAAATATAGATTTGTTCTGCCATGACATCTATTTACTTTCATTTCAGCTCTCTTTTTAATAGGGCAATTAATGCTTTGCATRTGAGGTAGATAAGAGTATGTTTTGTATCTAATGTGAAGACTGGTCGTTCCAGTAGAAATTATTTCTATGTGAATTATTGATACTGTTCTTGGCAAATTTGGCCCCTAGCTTATATTCTCAGTGTTATTTCAGCATTTCCTGCTGATAAAACTCCAATAGGCATTTCAGTTTGAAACTTCAGGTATCCTCTCTTGTTATCATAGAGCTAATGGAAGCTCTTTCATCTTTAAGCTTGCAGTCTCAACTAGGACCAGATCTTGTGATCTAGAAACTGGTTATCCCATAGCTTCTGCTGCTGAGATCATTCAGTTCTTAACCTTAGTAAGATCTAGACAAGGAATTAAGGCTCTGGTCCCCAGAACAGGCACGTGGTTTCTTATTAATGTTCAAAGGGGAAAAATCCGAGTCCATTTTGAACTCGGAACCCATCATGTATTTATTTCCCCCTCTAATTTGCAGAAAACTAGTTGTGAAAACAGCCCGAGGGGCCCGATATTTTTCCATCCCAGCTGCTTCAGCTRAACTACAGCTGCAAAAAAAAMCCCCAAAACCCTAAGTATTGTTTCTATAAACTGTTGAGTGTATTTTATAACACAATAATTCCCACAAAATCAGTAACTGCAGTTAATGACTGGTTTGTTAAGGCATTAACTGCACTCAGCTGGGAATGACCAAGTTTTCTGGAATGGCTGTATAAGTGCTAAGGATAATTCAGTAACACTTTCAAATAATTATTTGGTTAATTAATGGTAAATTCTTGTGGAAATCCTATCAAAGTACTTGTGACCCCCACATTTAGTATCCCATGATTTCATTATGATTCATGTTTTATTGCCATAAATACCAGAAGATTCCATAATGACTAGACCATTATTTTCCAGGGCTGCCCTTACCGCTCTAGGCAATTCTGGCTATTCCACCTTGAGTCATAAAATGCTTGATGCTCAAAACTACCAGCATTTGTGGGCCACAACTTTCTGGCACCCCACYGAAACTTTGGTGATTTTTATGAATGCATTTGGCAGAAATCTCTCCTTTTCTTGCCCTCGCCCCTCCCTTGCTTTTCCAGTTGGGRGAATAATTGATGCCTTCTGCACCAGGTCATAAGGAAGCCTTTTTGCAGCGCCTGCTTTTTCATGGGCATTCTCCAGTAGTGCTCAAAATGAGCAGAAAAGGTATTACTCCCATGTTTCAAAAAGCTGCTCTTTGGCCAGAGATTGAGCAGGATTTGACCTTTTTACAGCCAAGTTTCCAAGCAATGATTGACTTGGAGATTTATTCATTAGCTTTCAGATGAATGGGAAGAAAAAAAAAAAGGGGCCAGTTTGGTGCTGGCACATTCAAGTAGCTGTCAGTTTATATTTTTGGGAGTGAAGTCCCTATGCATAAAGATGACATGTGGCTTATCAGTGAATTTTTAGTCACTTAGTACTTACACTTGTATACTGGGTCTGTTTGGCGTTCAAGAATAATACTGAGTGTGTTAAGTGTTGGGGCAATCTTAAATTTGAATGCTAATATTTGTGTTAAGTTGTGTGTGGCRTGGAAAGAAGAATGAAGAGCAGAGCAAACAGCTTTATTTTTTTCTCTGGCCTAATGGAATTTGAGGGCATAATTTATTTTTAAAGTTTCTTTTATTTTCTTAAGAAGCCTTGAGCTACATGCGTAGCAATTTGTTTTCATGTAATAGTTGGTTTTATAATGTCACTACAAATGAATGTGTCAGTAATGTGACTCTTCATAAGAAACACAAGAGAAGCACTTCATTATGTTTGCTCAAAGCAATTAGTATCATTTTGGCAAATATGGTAGAGCCTGTGCTTTTAATTATTGTTTCATGCCTTTTTATTATTGGTTTTTGAAGGAAGATGCAGCTGTGTCCTTTCAGGATAAAGGAACCATATCCTTGCTTCCTAAAGGAAATTTTGGTTTCCAGTGATTTATTTGCCTGGGTTGGTTGCTGCTTGAAATCTTGATGCTTTGCTAAATAGCTAATATTCACCTTAGCTTAAATAAAAGTAGGAAATAGACTGTTTTGATCAGTTATACAAGAAGTATAAGCTGAATGACTTTTGAATTGAATTAAATTCTTGTCATCTTTCTAAGTATCCGTTAGTATGAAGGCAAACGATTGCTATCTTTGAAATGTGTGAAAAATCTTTTTTTCTAAACCCTTGTGTGTTTTGTGTGTGTGAATGGCACTGAATTCCTTCTACAACAGTAGTTCTTTAAAATTTTCTCTTCCTAAATAGGAGTTTTGTGCTCTTCATCCCCTTCTCCACCCACCTGGACTGTTTAAAACCTAAAATATCAGGTCATGTTAGTATGTTTTTTTTTCTCTCCTAGCAAATGAGAACTACAAGCAAGTGGCAATGTGTATTCTGTATCACATAAGCATGGACGATCGCTTTAAATCAATGTTTGCATACACAGACTGCATCCCACAGGTAGGTGCCTTTCTGTGTGACGCAGAGGTGAGATGCCTCCTTCCACAAAGCTGCCTGTCCTCTTCATAGCCCAGCTCACACTGACACCCRCAGGAGAATGCATGAACAGCCACAGTGCTGCTGCTGAGTCTATAACTAGACACCTATTAATAGGGCAGTCTGGCCTTTCCTGCTGTCTTTTAACAGTACTTAAAGGGGGAAAAAAAGATAAGGGGCAGCTATTCTTTGTCAGGACTCCTAACCAGTGAGCTGCATCATCAGTGAGTTGTTAAAAATACAAGTGAGCCGATCARTCTCTACAGAAGATTGGGACTGCTAAAGGAAGGTTGAAATGTGTGCACGGTAGGTCCTTGGGGAGCCTTGAGGAAACTATTTCCTTTGACATTCGGGAGGCATTTTTTTCTGATCCCATAGGGTATCAAAATTTCAACATTTCCAGTATTACAGGATATGAGCTGGAAGCCAGCCAGGCCATGTTACATTGCTGCATGACAACTGCTTTTGCTAACTGCAGCCACGCACAATAGGGGAGAAATGAAGACTGTATAGAAGGCAATGAAGAACTCTTCGCTGATCCTTTAGGCTACAATTGGTCTTGTAACTCTGTCTCTAGCATAGACTTTGACCCAAGTACAGGAAAAAAGGCTTCTTGAAATTTGTGTTATTTGGAGGTAGTTTGYTTCAAACCAAACACCAAATTCTCTTACTGAACTTTTTCTCGGGCCTAGTTAGGCTGGAATTGAGAAGGTCTGTTGCACAAGTGTGGAAAGCTCTCCAGTGGCTTTTCTGTTTCAGAATTTCAGTGATATCTTCCCTCCCCTGCCCCCAGTAAGCATGTTTTTTAACATCAAATACATTCAGGACAGGAAGTTGCAATGGAAAGTTTTCAGAATGTTTCTAGTGGTTATTTCATRACAAAAATTGTAGTGTTTTTCCAGGTACAGGAGAGGGGTTTCCAGAGGGCTGGAGAAAGCTGCCGGRGATAACTAGTGCATATTATACACTGATCCTGTAAACACCCTGCTGAACTACATTTTCTGCACCAGAATACCTTACAGTAAAGGCAGTCGCACGTTGTAAGGGCCCTGCTTTGTTCTGAGCAGTCAGCTGCCAAGGCAGGAYGTGTGCTTTGCGTTTCAGGGCTTGCTTTTGGTGTCCTTGCAGTGAATCTTGGTGTGCTCCTTAGCTGCCCACTGCCAGGTGTAAAGAGCTATATGGAAACTTCATTGACTTCATACCCTGAGATTTATTGAGCATTGTTGTTCCAACAGGCAGTGGCTGCTCAGAGTAGGTGCTTACAGGGCATTATCCAAGGACCGGTGGAATAGAAAAGATTCCCGCAGCCTTAATAGGACTGGGGCTAAACCCACCATATTCTGTGGATGTGTTTGTGATGGATGTAATTAGTTGCTGATCATGCCTAGAGACCCTTCAAAAAGGACAAGCTTGGCTAATCAGAGTATAAATGTTCTTAATGAATACTAAAAATTGGGACAGGACAGCAAAGGTAGCAAAACATTATTTAAAAAAAAAAGGCAGTGAGTATGGCATCAAGGAAGAAAGTCACCATTGAAAAAAGTCTTGCTGCTGTTTRCTTCTTCCTTAGAATAGCAAAGTCTTTTTGGTGGGAGTATGTGCCCTTTGGTGGGTTTATTTCAAAGAAAGGTTGCCGTCCAAGCTGGCGAACATTCAGCAATGAGTGTTAAGCTGTTGTTGAAAGCGATGGGAAAAGTCTGTCCTCCGTGGTCATTTCTGCACAGGTAGGAAGGGCTTCCTGGAGGGGCCTGCACGTGCTGTCCTGCATGAGCATCCTTGCGGACCCGAGGAGTTAGTGGGTGCTACTCTAGTAACAGTTAAAACTGAGTATTAACAGTTCATTCTTGTTTAGACCCCAGCAATGCGTGTTTTGTTTAAATAGGTGCAAATGCCATCCAGATGCTTATAAAAGCCTTTATGGGCAATAACGTGGCCAATCAAAGGGCATGGTTCGGCACTGATGTCATGGGCATATTTAATATTTTACCACCGAGCAGCGCGCRAGCCTCGCCGCGGCTGCCCACATGTTTTCCGCCGCGGTCGTCCCGCTTGGCCCCTCTTTGATCTTGCTAAAGCTTCTTTTCAGCTTAATGCTGGTAAACGTCCGCTCTTGACAGCCCCCTTTGCTCCTGTCCACCATTATCTGCTGCAGCTCAGAAACCAGAGCATCACTTCAAACAGCGGAGCCCGGGAGTAGCCGCGCAGGAGAGATTCCTGAGGCATGCGCCTCTGGCCTAATCATTCAAAGATGTTGGAGCCGGCGCTGGCGAGGGGGTTGCACAGAGGTGTATGTGAACACAGAGCCGTGGGGGTTGGCCTCTGGTCACTGGTAAATAAGTGAAGGCAGGTGCCAGAGAGTCTAGACACAGTGATTTCAGCCCTGGTCTGTGGTATCTGATACTCAATATGGGACTTGTCTGATTGAACACTACTGCCTCTTCATTGCATATGCTGCAGTCTTTTTACTGCCTTCCTGTTAAATCAGGAAAAGATGACAATGGACATAGTAAAAGCAGAACAAATTTAATTTTAATATTTCCTATTTGGCAGCAATTATTCTTCCTTTTGAAGTGGCACAAGAAGCAATCAAATTAAATGAAGACRTAATGGGAAACATGGAGCTCGTACRAAACTATTATTTTAAAATTTGAACAGAGTTTAATTGAAACTGGGTATTTTTTTCTTTTTATGGAGAAGCAGTTCAGTAATTAACAGCATAATCCTGTCCAGTTAAGCATCTCTTTTCCACAGATTTTGTATTGTGCGAGTAACAAGAATGTTTCCCTTCAAATTATTCAAAGGGTTTTAAAAATCCCCTTTTAAAGGTTTGCTGCTGAATAGTTGCAGGGGGGATTCGAGTGGGCATGTTCTGTGTGTGAAGCAGCTATGTTGTTCTCTGCTTAATTTCTTACCCTTTTGGGACTGTCAGGCTTACAGATTTAACAAACTAAAGGTTTTAAGAGTCCTTAAACTCACCAAGGGAGAYTTTTCCCTTTTCAGGGCAGAGAGGTAGAAACTCAGTGATAGCTATTAAATCAGTACATGAAAGCCACAGGAAAAAGACATTAATCACCATGTTGCAACCTAAATATGTTTTATTTATCTGGGGGTCCCTTTGGAATGACAACCTGTTATCTGACTGTAGATAAATGTACAGAATTGCTGCAGTAAACTTGTAGAGTGACATTCTAGCAGTCATATTTGTTCTCAATTATATTTCTTTTTCCAAATGAATTGCTTCTCCAGTTTCTTTCATATTTAATGTATTAAAAAAAAAGATCTCTTGCCACCAGAGGGCAAGCATTCAAATATCTAAGGGCTAGAGGAGTTGCTTTCTTCCCCCCTGCCCGGTGTCTGACACAGCCAAGCTGTGTGGATGGCACTTCATGCCCTGTCTTATCTTTCTGCTCAGTTGTTTCTACTTCTAGTAATCACAAGTCTTGTCATCACACTGCTATGGGCTGTAGTTTTGGCCTGTCTTATGAGCTGAGCAGGTTTTAGGAGCAAAATCATGTCCTACAGCTCCTCTGTGGGGAAGCAGTGCTGCTTGTCTGYTGTAGTGCTGGAAAAAAAATGCAAATGGATGCATTTGAGCATCACATTCGACATACTAATTTTAAGTGTCAAGTTTCTAATGGTCAGAGTTAGAGTAGCTCTATAGCCTGCCCTGTAATGGATAATAGGGGAACCACCTGTATAAAAGGTTATTTGCTTGTGAAATCTTCCAGGAATTCACCACCTTTTATTAATTTACTGTTTAAGGGGATTATAGGCAACAGCCTATTTACTTATGTTACTCTAGGTGGTTTCCTTTCTTCCCAAAAGAAAGGGAATGCCTCTGGGAAGGGTTTGGCTGGCATATACCGGTGTTCAGCTCCAGCAATCAGAGCTGCAAAAGTGGAACACGTTGCAGATGCTCCACAGCTGATGTACCCATCAACAGAGAAATCTCAAAGCATGACAGTAATACAATTACTCTGTAATTACATATTTGTTTACACTGTCATTATTTTGTTAAACAACCAGGTTTTACTCTGGCCTTTCCAGAACCAACAGTTCTTCTTCTATTAAGTTTACCAAGACTTCAAAACAAGGATAGCCCCTTAGAAGCTTGTTCATGTATTAAAAACTCCCCCTTTTGCATGTTAGAAATATTACTGTCCCTAAATAGTGGAATCACACATCTTCTACCCTTGAGCTGTATTGTTTTCTTGTCTGCAGAAATGCTGAATATTAAAATACATATTTTAAAAATTACTATTGTTAACATAACATTGCTTTGGAAAGCTTGAGTGACTGCTTGTGTTTCTTGGCAGTTAATGAAGATGCTCTTTGAGTGTCCCGATGAGCGAGTTGACTTGGAACTTATTTCCTTCTGTATTAACCTTGCTGCTAACAAAAGAAATGTGCAACTTATCTGTGAAGGTAAATGTCCTTAAACCTCACTGCTTCCTTGGGGGTGACAGCACTCTAACACCTACACAAGCTAGCTTGGGTAGTGACTGCAGCTAAATGACCGCATCCCTCCCGAATTTGTCTTGGTGACAGAAGTGACGCTGAGTGTCCCCATCTCTCATGTGCAAGCAGTTCTGTAAAACACATTCGTGACATGGAAACTATGGTTATATGGAGCTCAAGATTTTGTTCTACCTGGTGTCTAAAATCTTTCAATAGCTAATGTTTTGCCTGGTGAAATCAAACTGAAAGCAGTGTTGGTGACTTCTACTTGTATCTGTCCTTTAAAAAGAAAAAAGGCATTTTGGAGGTTCCAGTGGTTTGTTATATAGTATGGATATGATATAGGGGTATAAATGATATACTCGTTTGTTCAGTAGTTAAAAGTTGCAGCTTAAATGTTATTATTCAGTACCTCTCATTTTCTTGTGTGCTCAGAATTTGACTGTTAAGCTCTTCAACAAACTGCTAGAATTGATTGCTATTGCCTCTTTTCAATTCAAATGAATGCTGTGGCCAGCAATTTCACTTAACACTTATGCATATAGTCATTTAAAAGAGCAAGGATATCCAATATTGCATTGGAAGTGTGTGTGTTTAAATCAAACTAGAACTTCTTAATAAGACAAGGTGATCACTTTGAAACAAAAATGGGACTTGTCATGGGCAAGTCGAATACTTTTCAGTCTGTGTATGTGATTTTATATATATTTATATATATATAAAATATATATTCTCCCATAATACATTCTGTTGTATTCTTTGACTGGTAAATAGTGCTGTAAAGCATAATGATATATCTGTTCTGTGGTGTGAAGAGCAGAGGTCCAGCAGCTGTGGTGCTTCTCCACTCACTGTAGTGTGCTAGTAATTCTTGACCTGTCCTTTCATGAAGTGAAGGGAGGTAGGGACAATTTGTGACCTTAAAAAAAGGTTTAGAGCTTATACCGGAATCAAACATACAATTGTCCAAATAATGGAAATGAACAGTGTGCCAGACTACTTTTGAAGATGCCATCTGTACTTGTTTAGGTATTTATCTGACATTCTAACACAGGTGTGGYACCAATACATGTGAACATAGTAGCTCTTTTAGAGAAATTATGTATTAGATTTGTTCCTTTCCGAGTAAAACTTGGAAGCATAATTACTATCTGTTTTGTTTTCCCTGAAATATTTTATTTTAAGATATAAATATATTTACTTAGTGGCTGTTTCTTTTCAGGAAATGGTTTGAAAATGTTAATGAAGAGAGCCCTGAAATTTAAGGACCCGTTGTTAATGAAGATGATCAGGAATATTTCACAACACGATGGGCCAACTAAAAGCTTGTTTATTGTAAGTACTATTGTTCTATAAGGTCATTTCAGTTGATAAATCAAGCTTTGGGTCACTGCAGGGAGATAGATTTTCAGCTGAATCTATTAAGTCCCTGTTCCAAAAAATAAATAYRTATTTCTTTTCTTAGAGATGGGACAAAATAAGGGATTTTTAACTGTTCCAAGTTGTATAAGTAGTTATTCAGATCTGTTTTAAGAAGTGTCACAYAACACCTGCTTACACTTTCAGTTCCCTCTTCTGAAAGAACTTAGTTGTCAAGGGCTCATTGTCCAGCACTGTCAATAGAACTAAATTCCTAAGTAAAATTACTCTAAGTATCAAATGCAGAATATTCGGTTAGCTGAGTTGATATTAGCTTTCAAAGAAGGAGTATCCTGTTTGTGAAATTAAGTGTAATATTGTAGTGAGCAGTGAATATTAAATCAGCTTRAAACAATGCGCTATTAGTGAAACTCGTGGGAAAACTGTGTTTGAAAACCTTGTARCCACTTCCCAGCCTTTAAGAGGGAACTATTACTGTCACTCAGACAGTATGGTGCTCCCAGTCTTCATCCTTCCTGTTTCCTAGCAGCTTTCATAAGCTTTGTACCTTTTGCTTTTGAAAGTGAAAGGGAGGAGAGAAAGAGAACTCAAATATTTTCTTGAATAATTCAACTGATAGTGAAACTCCCTTACCAGCCTCTTCTCCTTTGAGAACTAGTTTTGATTTGACAAAGATGCAAGTTCTTCAAAGCTGCCTATCTAATACGCTTGCTATCTGYCTGCTGCTGTATTTTCTTCAGGATTATGTTGGTGACTTAGCAGCTCAAATATCAAATGACGAGGAGGAAGAATTTGTGATTGAATGCCTGGGAACACTTGCAAATTTGACTTTACCGGATCTCGACTGGGAGCTTGTGCTTAAAGAGTATACACTGGTTCCATACCTCAAGGATAAACTAAAGCCAGGTCTGTACCAAGCTYGGTTAGTCTTTCAAAGGAGAGTCTGTTTCCCTCTAATACTTGTGGTAGTTTTAGGAAACATAATATTGAAAGCCTGAGGTGTGTGCACAAATAAGGTGCAGCTGCCACAAGATCAAGCATTTCTAAGGACAGTGCTTTCTACTCTCTGACTTACCAGGTTCTGCAGAAGATGACCTCGTTTTGGAAGTGGTCATAATGATTGGAACAGTTTCTATGGATGATTCTTGTGCTGCTCTGTTAGCCAAATCTGGAATCATTCCTGCACTGATCGAGCTTTTAAATGGTATGTTGAGAGCTTTGACTTTGGGCCTTGCTTTTCGGAGGTGTTGAGGTGCTGTATATAGCTGCCTTTAGATTCAGTYGCACGGTTTCTTTTATCCTGCAAAATAGGGGAAGGTGTTTTCTTAATGAAAGAAGGAACAATTACTGCATTACTGATYAAGACCCAATGGCTAATGGCCTACCTGGTTTGGTATTTCCACATCTGTATACGTCTGGCTGCAGCCTGTGGTATTTCAGTTTGGTTGGAGAGAGGAGAAGATGAGTCAAGGTCATCAGCAGATGAATTGCACGTGTAGTATTGAAGTGTCTAGTTGACATGTAAAATCTAGATATTTCTGTAAACAGCAAGAGGTTCCATTTGTGAGATCTGAAAACTGAAACTGCRTTTTACCTTTGCAGCTCAACAAGAAGATGATGAGTTTGTCTGCCAGATCATTTATGTCTTTTATCAGATGGTCTTCCACCAAGCCACCAGAGATGTCATCATTAAGGAGACTCGTATCTTTCTAAAGTTCAAATGTGTAGAACCTCAGGACTTCATTTGCCATCATGGATCCATGGCCTGTGTTTCCCTTGCATAAACCTCTTTGATCTCAGGGGTTTCTTTGTAAATGACTTTTCTGCTGAAGAATAAACAAGCAGGCAAGCTGCTTAGGTGCATAGATGTGCAAATGCTACAGAGGAAAGTTAGTTTGATTTGAAATAGGGGCAAATTGGACCCCATGACCTGTTTGTTCCTTTCCAATCTGAATTATTCTATGATTTTGCAAATCATAGAATCACAGAGTCATAGAATGGTTAAGGTTGGAAGGGACCTCTAGAGATCAAGTCCAACCTCCCTGCTCAAGCAGGGACATCTAGAGCACATGGCACACAGTGGCATCCAGGTGGGTGGCATCCAGAAGAGACTTCACAGCCTCCCTAGGCAGCCAGTTCCAGGGCTCTATCACTAGACATCATAATCAAAATCAGTCTGTAGAAAAACATGCAGACAAATATTTTGCTGCATTGCATTATTATGTGTATATCTTGCATAGTCTGAAATTAATAAGTGCATTAAAATATTTGTAAGATAACTTTCAATACCCTGAGACACCATAAACACAAACAGTATCTTTATTCTATTTGATTTTTTGATATATTCGTAAGTCACTTTCGACTTTTTTCTTTCACTTTCTGATGTTGAGTTTAAGATGATCCAGAATTTTTATAAAGAGGTAATAGATGTCTCTGTGAACCTTAGATTAGTATTAGCTTTTACAGAAACAAATATTGTGTAAGACCCTTGTAAGGATAACAGATTAGTTATGTGCTTTTCTAATAGAGTAACAACCTTCTAATGTCCCTCAATCCTTTGAGCTTGGATACATATCTGAGAMGCTCTTTGGGATGTTGTTGTTTGTCTCCTGTTTAAACTTGTAGATGCCTGACTTTTAAAGAAAAAAGGAATAACATTTCTATTTCATATTAGCATTGTAATAATGCAATGCTTTGCACAACAGAACCTGTCTTGAGTATTTTAGAGATAAATGCATTGAAAACTAACTGGAGTAAAATACTCCATAAAATACTCCATAAAAATTACCAAAGAAACTTCCTCAACAAAGGAATGCCTCATGAGTTATTACAAAACGTGTGTTAGTCCAAAAGGCATATTGTGCATGAATTTCTGATGACAAATCAGAGCATGCATTCTTTGCAAATGACACAAGTTTTCTTTGGTTGAAGAACAGTCGAGTGTCTTAAAATGTGAATTACTATTTAAAAGYGTTTGCGCGACTCGGGGAAAGGTTGCTGAATTTAACGTGTTGTGGAAAATTCCACGCTGGAATTCTTGATGAAGCTTGAAGTTGGAGGAACCCGGGACTGTGATAAAACTAGCATTTATATCCTTAACTGTTTCTTCCCAGAGGCTCCAGCGTATCTTATAGACCTGATGCACGATAAAAATGCCGAGATCCGCAAAGTTTGTGACAACACTCTGGATATTATAGCGGTAGGTCTGACTTGCCTCTCCTCATGTCATTCAAGAACCTCTTTGCGTGATGTAATTTGGAAACAGTGAGTGGATAGCAGTAATTTGCGCCTGAAGACTGAAGGTATTTTTTATGAACAACTTGATAATCGCGTAAGTGAAAGATGAATTCTCATGAGACAATGACAGGCATTATTCTAGGCCAAATACCATTTTTTTTTCCCAGAAAACGCATATGTATTTTGAAAATCCATACCAGCTAACTGCATACTGCAAACTTTCTTCTGAAGAATGCTTTTTAACTGGAGGAAAAAAAGAGCTATTAATAATACTGCCTAAGCATGCTGAGCTTTCATTATGTCCTAGTTCTCCAAACAAAATGCCTTTTGCTACCAACAGCTTTTTTCAACTCTTCTTTAATGCCTTATGCCAGTATTTGTTTGGTGGACTGTTGGCAAAAAGGAATTCCAGTGTATAATAGTATTTTAGCATTTACTAGGYGTCTAAGTCTTTTGGATCTGCAGTACCTATCATGAAACTTAGTCATATATCCAAATTTAACTGTATCCAAATTTAGCTGTAAGTTTGAGGTATTATTAAAATCTTTAACTGCTTAAATGCTTTTCCTCCTGTCTACTCATGCTGTCATCTTCCATTGAACTGTACATATTGCAGCTTGCTCCCAGGGAGCTTTTTTATAGAGTAAGACCTAAGTTTTAGTCTACACAGTCCTGTAGTTTTCTGTCTTATTATACACCAGAGTTGAGTTATCAGGTCCTCAGATGAGCTTAGGTGTTTTGTCATTGAGATCAGAGGCTATGGTAAAGTGTGTAAACGCTGAGTTGTTTGGCTGTGTGGTAATTTTATACTACTGGCACTTTCTGAGGTGTTCAAATCGACATAGAACCATTAGTCTCTAGGGCTAGTGGAACTTCTAATCAGTGCTAAATCCGCAGCAAAGAAAAAAATAAGTTTGCAATCGTATTGTTCCATGTAAATGCTGACACGATTAGCTCCTCTGATGATGGAAATCAGAAATTAAATGTTGGAGAAAAGAGATTTGACACTTAAGTATTTTTTTTCCTCAAGCGCACAAAAGCTTCTTTCACTCATCAATAAGCTCTATGCAGTGCGATTCAAATACCGCTGAAGAAAATCAAATGCCATAAAAGCCTTAGGGGAGATATGCTTTCTGTAGTAAAGTAATTGTCACAGAAATTATGGAAATGTTACACTAGTGATGATTGTTTAATATAGCTTGGCTGGACTCTACCCATGATGAACTGAAACAGATGTGCTGCCTGAACATGGTATGTACGGGAAAGCCTCGTGTTTGCGCTGGTACATGTGAGAGAGCCATTTTGCCAGCAGAAAGAGCTRTGTTGATAACCTGGGAAAGGGTCCGTTCTGTGCTGTGCGCTGAGTTTTGACACCTAGCAAGGAGTTGGGAGATGAGCACTTCTCCAGCTAACCTGGACAGGTTGGATAGCTTGGCTAAAAGCCTGGAATCACTAGTTAGTTTAGGCCRTTCTGTGGGATTCTTGAGCAAAAGCCAAGTATCTTGTAGATAGCTGCTGCATTGGCTGTGTGTTTGTTGCCTCAGGAAGGGCTCGTGCCTAAGGAATTGTTCCAGCTCTCATTCTTTGCCCCACCTAGCTGTAGTTTTCACTAAAAATATAATTTGCCTCRTATGGAAAGGTGCATATTAATGAATAGTTTACATCTTGCTCTGCTAGCCAAGTGCCCTGACACCGATGCTCCGTGTTGGGAATGTGGGAATCCCAAATACACGGGAATGTGCTGTGAGCTCTCRGTGCTTTGGGATTTGGGGTCAGCTGTGTAAGATGTTGGCCAGCTCTCTTGGAATCAAGGAAGAGCAGACCTCAGGGATTTGGTGTGGGCTTTATTTAGATAGGCACTGTACTATGAAAATAGATAACCTCTGACTCCATCTTGTTGTCCTCATTCCATGAAAAGTTCTATACTGCCTATGGGAAAAGAGCGCAACCTTTTCTTACCAAGACTCTCTACTTCTGTGGTGTCTGTCATCACGTTTCTCATCATCGAACAATTCTGAATAGAGAGCAGGGGAGAAGAGATGCTAGGGCTGCAGGCTGTGCTGCTGACACCCATTTTTGATGAACAGCATCTGCATTATTAAACTTAAGATCAGTCCACATGGCTGCTGGGGGCCTTTGTGGGGTAGAGCGTGTACCCAGCAGCATCTTCCATGCCATGGGCCATTCATTTCCTCTCAAAACCTGTTTAGTGAAGAGCCTGGCTGCAAAGAAGTCACTGGGCATAGTGCTGGTGTAAATCGTGGGGGATCTTTTGGCCTGTGACTAGACTCTGCTGTGATGGTGCTTACCCTAAGGTAGGTGTCAGAGACACCTGCAGAAGTTTGATCCATACCATCTGCTTCCCTCCTTGGTTAACCAAGGCACATAGCCTAAATTACACGTCTTACTTTGGGATGGCTAAAGTTAGACAAGATAAATCTTTCCCTAACTAATTAACCTTTCCTGTAAAATATATGTTTTAGAGATTATTAAAATAATGGAGAATGTAGCAAGTAGCATATCACTCTGCTAGCTCTGTCCTTAAGCATAGTGAACATTCAACTTACTGTATAGCAAGTTTASTTTAATATGAGGAATTGCATCAAATGAACCCTATTACAGGCCCAATTAAAGGGCAACCACATTAAAGTGAAAAGGAAAATCTGTTTTTCATCAGCTGCGAGAAAACACAAAGCAGATCTGTGTAGTTCTATGTTATCCTATAGTGTGTTAATCAGATACAAGGTGTGACGGAAGCCAGTGACAAAGGGGACCCCTGATAGGGACCAGRCCCGCTCTGATAATAGGCCAGTTAACGCTTCATAACGTTTCAAGGGTTCAGCAGTAAACAAAGTTGGAAGCAGAACTTCAAAAAGGATGGCACATTCCACGCCGAGGCAAGCCATGCATCTTCCATGACACTCCTGGATTTATGGGAACCGAATGTTCCAAAGGGTGATGTCAGGGAGCTCCGAGGAGAATGAAATGAACCTTCAGCATTCCTCCTTTCATGTGCCTCAGCTCGTGGCAGTTGTGGCGCTGGGACACAAGCACGTTCTCCCCACCACCTTCTCACCTCCTTTCCCCCTTTCTCTGGTGGCCTAATGTTTTGAAGGATTGGAGGGAATAAAGCTGTTGGCTCCATCATCTCAACAACTTTCTGCTATCAGTTTTACTGGAATTCCCTCCTAAGGAAGATATACCTCCATTAAAAATAAAGTTTTAATACCTCCAGACAGGATTGCAGGAAGGCTTGGTGTGTTTTCCAAARTCGTTTTACCCGAGCTTGCTTTAATTTGGTTTCTTTGTTTTGCCTGCTCAGGGGTGATGTGGAATGGAGCAACAGTGTTGTGCCAGTGAAATTCATTTAAGCTTGCAAATTTGGGAAGCTTTCATATTTTCTGTAGTGTGCTTTGCTGAGTATGAATTAGGAGTTTAAGCACAGACTTCTCTGGCTTTTAGAGCAAACAAGGTAGCATAAAAATGATTCAGCTTCCCCATGGGTTATTTTATTTCGCTCTCTCTAAAATTTGGTGTCCTTCTCCCCAGSTTTTTTTCCCCAGTCATGATTTCTGGAAATAATTTTCTTAGGGCTGCAGAATGATCTCTGGCAGTTACAAGATATTTCTCAAAAGCTAGAAAGTAATTCRCAGCTGCTGAGGGTTGATGGAATAGATAGTGCACACTTAGCTCTGGCGGACACAGCAAAAGAGGTGGTTCAAGGATGCTGGTCAGAAGTCACCACTGGAAGTCATGCCCTTGAATTTTTTTGTGTCATTTTATGAGTCTCAGCAATGAGCTTGATTTTTTTTTTTTTTTTCAGGGCATTTTTTGCAGTGCTATGTCTAGTCTGTCTTTTTAATCAGGAGTGGAAATAGAGGAAAGATCAGGAAGTGGAAGGAGGACGAGGTGGTTCTTTCTACCTCTCCCAAGGACACTGCGTTGCTGCGTTGCCACAAGGAATTAGGAGTTCTTGTTGCAGCTGCTAGGGATGGGGAAGGTCTGCAGATTCTGCAGCGATATTTGCTCTGTGTGTGGAAGTTGTGCGAAGAGATCAGGGTTTGCACAGGACTATTTCTGTGCCAAAATGATGCAGAGGGGAATTAGAGGGACCTGATAATGCAAATGAGAGGTGAAATGTTAAATAAATAAAAATAATAATAAAAAGATAAAGGAATGAAATGTCAGAAATTCAAAGTGATGGCATAGATGGTGCCAGAGCTCCAAATCTGCAGGTGCTTTCATGAGTGTCCCATCAAAAAAGGCGTTTTCCTTCGGTTTTAAGCCAAGAGAAACAAACTTGCTATTCCTCCAAGCAAAGCAAAGTTTTAAAACCTCCTGCTATAGAATAATGCCTTTGTGGTTGCATGATGAACGCAGCATGATTCCACATAAAGTCTTGGGGACTTGGGATAGACTGATTAGTAGTGTCGGAGCCCAAAGCTGGAATGACTGAACCAGCTGGTTTTTGTGTTATCAGCCAGTCAGGAGGATGGAAAAGGCACAGGGTGGAGAGAATGTCGCCTATGTCAGGTTAATGGCAGTGGAGACAAGGCAATTGGAGTATTAGGTTGGTTTTAAAGCTCATGTTCAGTCCACAGAGGTTTTTGAAGTTTAACTTGAGCTACTAAGCCAGGTTATTCTGTCTTCACTGTTATTTTTTGACCTCAGGTTATAGACAGATCTGCTTTTGTATGTCTAGTTGGAGCAGTTTAAGAAATCACCACTTCTGCATCCAAGCCATTGTAGCTCGCTGTGTGAAAACTTTTCATCCCTTTCAGGTCAAAGTAAAACTGATTTTTAAAAACTTCAAACCTTAAAATGCTTCAGCTAGACTTCATAGAGAAGTTCTTGTTTACAATCCTTGGATTTTAAAATCTATTTGAATCAAAAAGCGGGAGAGATGCAGACAGACGAGGGCTGTTTAGGAGACTATGGACTCTATTGCTTCTTTCATAGTGCAGTGGGGCTGCAATCCATGTAGCCCCATGTAGCTTTAGTTCATGTTTGAATCCAAACTTCATGTGCACTGTTTTTCTGCAGTGGCCTGAACTTATCTCCTGTTTCCTTTAGCATACTGGAGAAGATTTTAGGCTCTTGGATTCCCCTATCCCTTTTATTATGAATGTTGAAGCTGCAAATAAAACACTGCCTTCCTCAAATTTATGAAGCAAAATTAAAAACTGATGACTTTTATCAAAGTGTATTTTATTACATTTTCTGGTAACTAGTTGTTCTAGTGAATTATACTCTAATGAGGGCATTCAGGATATTTGGTCAATGTTCACATTTAATTGCTGAGATKCCTTTCACATTTATGTTTTTAAACCAGTTTTGTGTATGCCTGCTCCTAAAATCTCCTTAAAAATTTTTTCATTTTTTTTTAAACAGGAGTATGATGAGGAATGGGCTAAAAAAATCCAGAGYGAGAAATTCCGCTGGCACAACTCCCAGTGGCTGGAGATGGTGGAGAGTCGGCAGATGGATGACAGCGAGCAGTATCTGTATGGGGATGATCCCATCGAGCCCTACATCCATGAGGGAGATATTCTGGAAAGACCTGACCTTTACTATAATGCAGGTAAGGCAGCACATGCTGGTCTTTGGGACAACCCCGTCCCAAACTGCTTGTATTTGGAGCCAAAACTTGATCTGTGGACGCTGAAACAACCTGCAGAATCCAACTAGTGGGACAGCTGAAGTTCTGCACCAGTGGGCGGCCAGCCTTGTTAGGATATAAGTGCACATTTGATATGGTATGTCCATGACCTTATGGAGTGTCACAGACCTCTAGACATGTGAGTAGATCTGCCTCACACAGCTAAGGGATTGTGGTTACCAACTGTCTAAGCTGACTCCCACCTACTACGTAGATCCATAGTTGGTTTGTTTAGCAAACAGAGACCTTTTCTCATCCCTCTAAGCTTCGCAGTACAACTTTGTGTTGAGTTCTCTTCTGCCTTAGGTGTTGGTTCCATAATAGATATTTTATAGCAGAGACTGATGTGACTTTTTGTGAATCTGTAGTGATAATTTCACAGCCATCTTACTACTGTTAAGAACTTAATTTGGAAAGTCAGAGTAATTTTTAAGAGAAATCATGTTCTTATCTGAGATTTAACTCTGTATTTATATTTGTATTTAAAAGTGGTTCACGTGGTCATTTTTTTTTCCTACTGTTGATAGCTCATACTGTGCAGAACTGCATCACTTGAGTTTCAACCTCGAGTTGAATCTGCTGTCTTGAACGTTTGGTAAAGACTTTGTAGTTACTAAGAAAATAAAATTGTCRTATTGGATTTAGGCAGCGATATATCTCGTATCCGTTCTCCAGTGCTTGCTCTTGCCAGCTGTTTCAGAGGAAGATTCAAGAAACCCTGCAGGAGACAATCGTGAAATAATTTGTCCGCTAGATAAATGTCTGCCTAGCCTTTAATAACTAGGTYTTGGCTTGTCCTCTCAAGCTTGTGGTTTTATATCCTTTCCAAACTGGAGGACTATGTGCACATACTTTTTTTTCCCTTCCCTTCTTAATAGCTGATTTTGAATCTTTCTTTTATTTTCCATATAAGTGTCCAATCCTTTGCCCTGCAGCATGAGTYACAAAACTGTCTCTGGATGAATTTGCAGGAATAGTAATAGGCAAAACAAACCCTCTGAAACCCATAAACTTTATTTGCAGTTGCTAAGAGAAAAAWAAATGTGCAAGCTCTCAGTAGCATTTCTAAAATTATTCTCGAAGTACATCAGAACGTAAGGATTCTTACTCATGTACCTAGTTATGTATGTCATCCACATCAACACACCTTCTTACAGGTAAGTTTTTCCCTTTGAATCCTCTAGCTTTATCTTATTCTGCCAGACCTGCAAGGTTAGCAGTGTGAACTGCTGTAGTTCAGTTAGTTCCGCACTGGGGGCTCCTCAAGTCTCTTCTGGAGTTCCTCAGTTCAGCAGACCTGCTGTAGTCTCCACTTCCCAGATCTTCATAATAAACCCCTGCTTACTTCACTGGGTCATTTCTTTTCCCAGCAGTGTGAACTAGGGAGGGAGTGTCACCAGTAAGACAGAATTTCCTGGCTTTCAATCATTTATGTTACAGACTTAATGCTACTCGAACAAAGATTTTTGTGTTGGAATTGATATTTGACCAGCGAAGGAGGCAGAAATCCAGTGATGTGTTCTGCAGATGTTTGAAAAGCAGTTTTGTTTTTGGAGGTATAAGAGTAAGTGATTATATTCAAAATACAAATTTGCTTTTCAGGTTTCCTCCGGCAAGTGCCTGTGACGATGTGCTTCTGAACTCTGCTAGATTTATACATTTGAAATGCAGCCAGCGGGTACACGATGCTCCTGTGAAAAGGCTGTGGGTTATTGTACCAACCAGAGCAGGCATCTGGATTGCTGAAGGACAGAGCATGTCTTAGTCAAAGATGCCAAAAATGCAAAACTTTGTCCAGCCAGAAATSAAATGTTTGTATTTCAGTGTGATAATTTTACAGATGACCTGCACTGATAGCTGATGCACAGTACAGGTCTCCTCTCACCATTTGGAGTTGTGCATCCCTATTGCCCTGACAAGCCAACATCTCTCTTGCAAAATAATTTAAACCTGCTTCAAGCACTTGGTAGAATCTCTGAACTTACCTTCATGAGTTCAGTGCCTCCCTTGCTCTGAAAATACATAACCCTAATTTATGTTGAAATGTACGTAACAACAGATGTCCTTTACCTCTAATCATATAATATGTAGCTCATGTTATCCGTGTGCTTTCAGTTTCCTTTAAATTCATGCGAGCCATAACTCTGAATGTTATGGTTTCAATGTTGGCGCGCTTGATTGAAGACACTTTAAGTAGCCATGGCTCTAGCCCCAGAGTTAAGAATATCACCTCAATACATTTTAGGTATCTCTGCTTTCAAATTGTAAGCAAACCTAGCTGTAAAATAGATAAATTTGATAAATTTCAGTGTGTAATACCACCAGTATAGAAATGACTGTGCTCCATCTCATTATCTCATTTCTTTTTTTTTTGTGTGTGTGTGTGTGTATGTAAAATGCAGGATAAATGAAGAAATAGGTAAATGTGCTACAAGTGTTAGTAACACCCATTTCAGCTCTCCTCCTTGCTCTTTGGTTATTTTATATCCCAATGGTAACACATAGTACTTACCTGCGCGTGCTGAAAGACAATATCCATTGTGCCAGAATACTTCTTTATAAGGTGAAGCTCTTTCACACTGTGTTCACATGTATACAATTAGAATATAGCTATGTACAGCTATCTTATGTTGCTAAAATGCAGCCAGATCATGGCTGGCCTTTTTCGTTTACAGTCTATTGCACTATGTTCAGCCACTTTCCCATGAGGAATGATCCCCTAAATGAATCTGTGTAGCACCTCATCAGATGTCTGTTAGAAATCTAGACGTGTCAATTCTATTCCTTTTATCATTTGTCACTATATTATCTTCAAAAAGCATCAGGTAGATTCATAAAGCACAGGGAGATCTGTTTGAATGCCTGACTCGTCGTCTGTAAGCCCCTGTGTCTGTAAGTAACTTTCCACTCCTTCCTGCACAGGCAGTTTTAGTAGTTTGGAAACCACAGAGGTTAAGCTTAAGTGGCCTGTGATTCCCTGGATCTTATCTCTTTTTCTTTAAAGTGGAATGGCATTTGTTACTTYCTAGTCATTAAGAATCTTTCTCTATCCTCTGTTAAACTATTAAAATGAGTCAGCATGTATCTGTTTCTGTTTATTAGAGTGTTTTCTACATGGTAAGTCCGGGTTCTTTTTCACACAGTAACAGAGACAAACTAAAGTAGGCTGTGTTTTTAGGAAATAGCTCATTTTATCTAATTGGAGCCTAATACTAATTACCAGGTAAGAATTGTGCCCCTAGTATGAACAAGAAGTGTATCCTGCAAAGRAGAACATGGAAGAGTTAACTTGGGTTCTCATTCACTGACTTGACTTCAAAGACACTCTGGATTTTTTCTGATGTAACTAAGGCAAAACTTTAGACCCCGATTTCCTATTCTTCCTTATAAAGGAAAGAGGAGCTGTGAAGTCTTTCAGGAATACTGCTGGCTTTCCAAATGTATGAGTCATTGCTAGTGGATTTATAGAAAAGAATCAGAGAWTTGAAATCTCTGTCTGAGCATATCCCCTTTGCTGAGAGGAAGCTCCTGAAGTTCAGTAAAGGCAAATACAGAGTCCTACAACTATAAGTGTGTASGAGTAGTAATCCCATGAGCTGGTACTGGAGAGCATTTTTGCTCATTTGGAAGCTGGGGCTGCTTCTGGACAACAGGTGGACCCTGAGCCAGCACTGTGTCCTTGCAGGAAAGGAGGCTATTGGTATCCCAGGCTGCGTTAGGGAGAGCGTTCACAGCAGGATGAGGGATGTGATCCCTCCCTCCCTGGAGTGCTGGGCCTGGATCTGAGCTCTTCAGTACATGTCAGACATGGATTTGCTGAAGAAAATCCAGCAAAGGGCCAACAAATTATTTAAGAGACTGGAGCATCTCCAGTATGAGAGTGGTTGAGAGTGCTGGGGCTGTTTAACCTAGAGAAGCAGCAGCTCAGGGGGGACTTTGTCAATGTACCTGTTATCTGATGGGAGGATGTAAAGAAGATGAAGTCAGGCTCTTCTCAGTGGTGCCCAGTGACAGGACAAGAGGCAATGGGCACAAACACAGGCACTTCCCTCTGTACACGAGAAGACAGCTCTTTCCTGTGAGGATGGCTGAGAGCTGATGCTCTCTGCCTGGAGGAGTCGTGGAGCTCCCTTCTTGGAGAYGCTGAATCCAACTGAATGGGGTTGTGGGCAGCCTGCTCTGGGTGACCTGCTAGGGCAGGGAGTTGGATCAGAAATCTCCAGAGGTCCCTTCCAGTTGCAACTTTTCTACGGTACGAAGCAGATGAAAGAAGGAGTTTTGAAGATGCTTTCCTATTTYATTTAGCTCCTTTTAAAAATTACAGGGGTGAAGGCCTGAGGAATTAAGTTATTTGCTCTTCCAGTCTCACTCTGTCTGTATTCACATTTGACCTTGCACATTACTCTTTTTCTGGGCTCACTTTTGTGATGAGGCGAACAAAATGGGTACCAATATAACATTCCAGGCATTTTTTTTCCAGTATTTTTATTACTTGTTGTTTCTCCCAGAAGCGAGTGTTGCAGATTGCCAGTTAATTCCCAAGGCAGAACATGCCTGTTGCCTTCCTGTCCTAAAATCACTCTCCTTCAGCCTGGTCTCTGTGTCTTTCTTGTTTTTATAGATGGCTTAATAGCCCCTGATGGAGCAGTGAGTCCTGAGTTCTTCAGTGATTATCATCTTCAGAACGGAGACCTCGTTGGGCAGCATCCCTTCTCCAGCAGGTAAATTCCTGTTTGAAAGGAATGTAAATAATGAAAAAATGGYTAATTCGGGATTCTTTATAGGGCTTAATTTCTGTTCCTAGCTCTGTTTGCCTTCTCTAATTTTAAATAGGATTATGTCCTAAGTACGTAGTAGGGGGAATGATTTACACGGGAAAAGCAGCTTTATGGGAATCATATGTGAAAGAACTARTCATTTTTCATCACATTAGAAAACCTAGTCTGTCTTTTGAATTACACATTTCTTTTCACACATTAGCGTGCATGTTCATGCTCGCTTTCTAAAAGCTGTAAAATAAAACTAGAACACAGCTGACTGCATGTTACAATGATTACTCAGATATTATTCAGGCATCATTGTTGGGAAACGTCTAAAGAGATGCTTGAGATGCTAATTACCTAGGAGAATTTTATTTCCAGCATTCTTAAGAYGTTAAAAATAAGTTTCTCAGTTGCCAAGTCTGTCTCTGAACTGTTTTTTTCCCCCCTCAAACTAAGCCTTCCAGTTCTCATTCCCAGTTTGATTCCCAATGACATTTACTTTGGGAGTTTGCTAGAGGAGCAGGAGATGTCTCTGCTGYGGTGTGACTTTCAGAAGATGTTTCCCTGAATTGCACCTCTGGTCTATGAGCTCAGCTCTCTACATGTTAATAAGTTATTCCAGTTTGGGCTGCTGAGTAGGTCTCCCCCACGAGTTCAAAACAGACCAACCTCTTCCAAAGAAGGAGGATCCTTTTCTTGGTAGTTTCTGTAGGGTTTAGAAAACGCCTTTTATAGAGCACGTGACTGTACGTGCTAAATGGGAAATGTTTCAAACACTTTACAATCAGAGGACCAAATTTGCTTTAACAGGATGTTATCTGGACACACACAGCACTGTGGTTGAAGTTGTTTATTTTGAAAGTAATAACGTTATTTTCACCACTTGTAGTTTTATTCAGCATTTGTAAAATGTGAGCAACTCGCAGTGTGTACAGCTGAAGCAAAGARAAAAATACTTCACCTTTGCTCCTTGCAGTTGTTAAGAGGCAATAGCTGGTGACCTTGATTTCTTTATTACAGCTTTTCTACCTATAATGCACCAAAAAGCTGAACGTTAGGCAGAGGTGGAATGATAGCGACGTTTATAATTAAAATAACCAAAATCCTAAAAAAAAAAAAAAACCCACTAAAATATGTGTCTCCTCGAGAAGGAGATTTAAGTCTTTGTGCCCCTTTGCTGTGGGGGGAGAGAGCTTTCAATGAACTAAAGGGAACGCCACTAAAGATCCTCCTGGTTTGCCAGCAGTCTTTTAGCTGTGGAAAATGTTACATCCTTGGCTAGAAGTAGGTCCCTGAACCTTAAATTTCAAGCCTTTGTCACAGGTCTTTGTTTGTAAGCTGCTGCTTAATCTATCCTTCCAGCTAGAAGTAGTGATAAAATAAATCTGGTGTATTTTTAGCTGGAATAAATGTTTTTAGAAATTTCTTGGTCACGTCTCAAGGCATTTTAGAGGCCAACATCAATGACCAGGACAGACCCAAGCTGCGATTTGCCAAGCTACAAACTTGGTAATTGCCCATAGTTGATTGCCCCTGTAAGTATTAAAATTTCTCCTTAGACTCTGGTTTTCTAGGAAGGCTTTTTTCAATACGATCCTGCATTATCTGCAGGCCAGACCCTCGGGCTAATTGGAAACAGCGTGCACTGTTGCAGATGTTCTGTCCTATTTGTAACGTAGCGGGCCTGGATTGTTTGATAGGATAGATACTGGCAGCCGGGCGGCGAATCCCGCTTTTCAGATGGGTGTCATTATCGGTTTGAACTCCTTGGCGCCAGGAGCCAGGATTTCCTGATGCTCAGAGCTAATGTAAAATGCATTAGTGCTCCAAGGCATGAGCCGTGGAATTGCCGGTCCCAGGAGGGTGGAGAGTCAAACCCTCCCTTTTCCCAAACCTGAATTGGCGTTAGAAGGTAAAACCATACGTGCTGGAGAGCCTAATTAAAAATAATAGCAGCGAGTCAAGGCTCTTTTTATGTGTTATATAGTGTACATTTCATCCATACCAAAACATAATTCTGGGGTATTTTTATGCTTACATTTTCAAGCTAACAAGAACCTTATGCCAAGGATTTATTTTTAACCAGTCCCAGCTTTTAATAAATCAAGATTTTTGTTATAGAAAAATGAACCATTTTTATTATTAATATTTGGATATGTTCCCCCAAACTTTAAGTGAAGTTGAGTTATGATTTGCACAGCTAGCTAATTAGTTAATACTGACTTCTTTGTGAGTTTAAAGAGGGATAATCCAATACTGAGTAGCTGTGTGTTTCTCAGTCTTTTCATTTGTTACTCTTTTATCTTTTTATTTGGTATACTTCTGTGTTGCACCTACATGTGCTGTTCTTGGTCTTCCACGTTAAGCTTTATTGTTCTATAATGGGAACAGTTGTTTGTCTAGCGGTGGGGTGAATGGGAAGGAGGCTGTTCTGCTATTTCAGACCACCCTGTGAAATTGGAGGTAGGTGACAACTGTAATTTCACTTTTTCCAGCCAGCTTGGAAGAAGCTAATCCTTTCTTCTCCTTTCTGCAGCCCTATGAGAAAGTCTTAGGATATGCCAGCTGTTTAATTTCTCTGAGATTATTATTTCCTACCCCAGCAGTGTGCTCAGACTGAATCAGGACGAAAAGATTAAGCCCCTGTCTACAGGAGAATCTATATATATTGTACAAGTAGGACAGAAAGACTCACCCCTTYGGTGTCTGCATGGCGCTGAGGAGCTGAGCTGCTGTTCAACTGGTCTTGGTGTCCCCAGTGCATTTATAAAGGGGGCCATTACCAGGGCTTAATGGGTCAYGATCACCAAGCTCATCTTTTGGACCTGAGCAAATGGGTCTGTCAGGAGCGTTTTCAAAGATCCAACCAAACTGATTTTCCTGCGTTAAAAAGTATGGAGCAACTTGGAAGGTAACTGTGGAAGTATCTAGGCCTAGAATTAGAATACTTTCTTGACTCTGCATGTGCTTGCGTGCTGCTGTGGCCACAGCCTGCAGCGAGCAGGGATTATTGCCCTTTGCAGTATTTGCCAGCATCCAGGTGAAGTGTCGTGCAAGGGGAGACCTGGGAAGCTGGCATTTTTTTTAATGTTACCACCCTTTGGAAGTAGAAATGATTCATTTTAGATAACAGAGTTTGAGAGTGTGGCAGCTTCACATGAAATCTTTTATTTCTAAACTCCACCTCTTAATGGAGTTGTTTTGCTGTGCACGATGTGCATAAATAGAGTTATTCTAGAGTACACACAGAAGCGCTGATAAAATACGAGACAGCATCTCATTTTCCTCARCGTTCAGAGCAGGATGGCAGCACATCCCAAGGTATGTTTTCCATTCAGCTAAAATATGGAACTGAGGAGATTGTTTTGACAGCTTGTGTCCAAGTTTTGCATTGTCTTCCAGGTTTTGTATTGGCTAGGAAGAGACTTTTGTGATTAGATGACCAGCTTTGAATCATCACACTGGCTCTCAGAAGCACATGGGCATTAGGCACTGACTTGAAATTTTCATCTGGTATTAAAATCTGTACTCAGGGTTCCTGGTTCTGATAAGGCTTAATATAGAGTGAAAGTTTTATGGTTGTAGCAAACAGCAGCTTCCTCGCCTCTGGATAATGTGATGACAGCTTAGTGTCTAAGCTGCAAGGAAGAGAAGAGGGCTTTTAAGCACATCTATGGTCATTTATCAGACTTTAATGACTTACTAGAGATTAGTTACTTTCACAAGACGACCCAAGGCAAAACTATGATGACCAAATATCTCATAGTAGAGATTTCCACAAGTCTGTCTTTCTGCTGGGGAAAAAGAGCACTCTTCAGCCTTTTCCTGCTGTACCGAGATGATGGTGCAAGCTTTAAGTGGCACCCAGGTAAGGATCATCATCCCYATGCACTCCCACGTCCCATATAGATCTGCAGCCTCAATTACATTTTCCTAAAGCAGTCTCTGCAAGAGAGAAGAGAACACCCTGGTTGTGCATAGAGGGGGAAATGAGCTGCCCCAGGCAAGTGTGTGCAGGCATGAGAGGCACCAGAAACTCCCTGTTTCGTGGCCCTTAGAAATAGTAGCCTAGACAAGCGAGTGCTTGTGGGGTCTGGGCCAGAGCAGGGATGAAGATACCCACTATCTTATCATTTAAACACAGGCATCGTGCTCACCTGCTCTACAGSAGGGGCTCGGAGATGAGCAGATAATGGGGTTTAAATCTTAGAATTAATGCAAAGAAATGTTAGGAGGGTACAAATTACTATTAAAATATGATTTTTACTTTCAAAAGCTTTACCAGAGCGACGTTGCAGTTCTGTGCGTTACTTTTTTTTTCTTGTCCATAAACCCAATTTTAAAAAAAGCCTTTTTTGCTCTTTGTGTTCAGCAGAGTTGCATTCGGCTTCTGCCATTTGAACGCTGTTTAATTTGCACTTCCCAGGAGAATTGAATTAGGTTTTATTAGTAAATGGGGCCTATAACCTCGCAGGCAGATTTTATTAGTTTATCACACGTCAGTATTAGCAAATTGTAAATCCCACCAAAACGAATTCGAAGAGACCTCAAAGAGAGGCCCAAAATCAGCGAAGTTTCTGCATTTTTCTTGTTTTCTATCCCACAAAAGTGCTGTTAGCGGTAGCRGAGTTGAATCGTTTTTATCATATTCTGTTGTTCTAACTGTCTACAAGTTTATTTTTTATGCAACCAGAGTGAGTGCAGTCAGGAGGCTGGCGCTCTGTTTCTGATTCAGCTCTGTATTGGCTTCACATAACGGGCAAGGATAAAATTCACTTTCTATTTGCACAGCACAGCATTTACTAACTGTTTCCATGCAGCAGACAGATACCTTTATTAGTCCCTATTTTACTACCTTCCCTTTTGTTTCCAGCAGAAAGCAAGCAAGCAAATGTGAACAAAAATTTAGGAAAGGGAAAACCAAGACAGGAAAGAAGACAAGGAAAGCGGTCAGGTTA